ATTCAAGGCCAGCCTACACTACACAGCTAGATCCTGTCTCAAAACACAACAGGGCCAGCCAGATAGCTCAGTGGATTAAAGTGCCTGCTGAGGCAGACACAGGGGCCAGGGGCTTGATCTCTGGTCTGCCGTGCTGGCCCTGCCCCTGGGGCAAGCTGAGATGGTGATTGAGACTGGGCATGGTGGCGCAGCCTATAGTTCTAGCACTCGGAAGGCTGAAAACAGGAGGATCAGTACGAATTCGATCTGTGCAGTGAGACCCTATAGACCCTAGAAGAGGGTAGGGGAATGAGATCTGTGTGTGCATAACTTCCATCAGTGTACCGTGTAGTGAGGTCAACAAATAGATTACTGTCACCTGGATCATCCTCAGAGTGTCACAGGCAGTCTTCTCTAGTGGTCCCCATGTTGCAGGCTGTAGGCACATTTTAAATGTCCATCTACTCGTGTTCTCCCCTTGGAGAGGGAGACCATGCAATGGGGACCATGCAATGACCAATGCTTGGGAGAGTCTAGTGGCAAGGATTTCACTTTTTTTTTTTTTTTTTTGCAGAACCAGGGATTGAACTCAGATCCTTGCGTTTGCCAGTCAAGCGCTTATCCTACTGAGCCATCTCCCCGGCCCCTAGTCGCAAGGATTGAATGGCATCCAGGTCCTCAAACCCTGAGCCGTGAGGCACTGACCATTGGGCTGTCTTAAGTAACTGTCACTAGACCTCCACAGAAGTCCAAGCAGCTCCATGTGACCCACATGTCCCTTTGTGGTGTCACCCACTGCCTCTGCCACCTCGAACCCCATATGGAATCCAGAGCTACTGTGCACTCACGCCCCCTCGCTCACCCTGTCATCTGCAGCCTGTGGCCAACTCCTATGCCTCCTTTGAGACGCGCCCTCAGGTTACACTTTCTGAGCTGTTCTCCGTGGGTGTTTCCACTGAACCTGAAGCACTGTTTTGTAGTTTTTGGTTTATTATAACCAGGAACAGTGACACACACCTGTAATCCCGGTAGTCTAGAAGGCTGAGGCAGGAGGCTCACAAGTTCCAGCCCAGCCGGAGAACTCAGTGATTTAGTGAGACCCTGTCTCAAAATAAAAAATAAAAAGGCCTGGGATGGAGCTCAGTGCAAAGGCCTGGCTTCATCCCTGGTACTGAAAATGAAAATAATGAAGAGTTTCTTGTCATGGAATTTCTTAAAGTAGAAGAATATGCTTTCCATATCCCAATGTCCGACACAGTGTGGACGTTCTCTGTCAGTGTCTAAGGTGCGGTTCATTAGGGCTCACAGTTTCCTGTGTTGCCCAGGGCAGGCACTCGCTCGCACCCACTGTGGGGTGATTCTTTTTAAAATTGTGAATAGTTTTCTCCTGTGATCACTGCCAACAGATCTCAATTAGAAGTTGTCACCTTTGAACTGAACATGAGCAAAGCATGTTGATGCTGATTTTCATAATGTTCAAGTATTTTTGTGATTTTGCAAGAGGTTCAACTTTGTTATAAATAGGTTTTCTTTAAACAGAATATCTTCTTTTTCCAGTTCTTTTGACATGCAACTTCTTTTCTTCCTTCCTTCCTTCCTTCCTTTTTCTTTCTTTGGTAATTCAGGCTGAATTTCTGTAGCCCAAACTGACCTCAAATGCATGGTGATCTTCTTGCTTCAGTCTCTTGA